CTTTTTCAGGCTATATTAATTGATTTCTGGGAATTCCCACTAAATAAAATAATTGTTCCTAAATTTGATTTTTAGAATTAAAAATATTTCTGATGTTTCCAGTTGATGATCCAGAGCTAAAATCGACTTGATTTCAGAGTTTCTTCATATGGAGGTGGGGGTCCTAATGTGCCAAAACATGGAGCAGGATACAGTTCAGGGTTTTGAGTTTGAAGGTGAATTCCAACAGTTGAATTCACAGCCACTTCTGTCCCTGGAAAGAGAAAAACGGGGACTTGTAATCTTTCTAGTCAGCATAAAACAGAAGTACAGGAACTGCCTAATAAAATCTGGCATTTCTTGGATCACTAGAGCAACAGAAAATTATTTGTACCCTTGAGAAAAAATTTACAACTATCTTGCTCTCTACAGTGATAGGTTAGTCACTATAGCAAGAAAATTTGCTCTCGTGAACAGATTATATCATCATTGACTAACCCATCAAGAAGCACTTACATTTTAGCAGCTGAAAGTAGGAGGGATGCCCTTTTTGGTAGATTAGAAGATAAGATTCCTGTAAATACTAATGGTATTTTAGCTAATGTTTCCTTCATGGGAAATGCAAATTTCAATACAAATATTTAAATATAATGTCTGAACTTCATTATTTTAGATTTATGCTCTGCAAACTACAACTAACATAATTAAACATTTCTCTATAATAAATAGTAAAAATGTGAACTTGTGCAAAGTTTGCACTTAAAGTACACACACACCATAAAGAAAAAACATTACAAAATTTTGAAAAATGCTTCAAAATCAAAAATTTGACTTTATTATTATTTTTAAATTTTTTATGTTTATTTTAGAGAGGACAGAGCATGAGTGGGGGGAGGGGCAGAGAGGGAGAGGGAGGGAGACATGGAATCCAAAGCAGGCTCCAGGCTCTAGCTGTGGACACAGAGCCTGACAAGAGGCGGTGGGGGGAAGGGGGACTCAAATTCATGAATCCTGAAATCATGACCTGAGCAGAAGTTGGACGCTTAACTGACTGAGCCACCCAGGTGCCCCAAAATTTCAACTATTAAATTATGCACTCTAGACACCATTAAATATCAAAAACAAGCATTTTCTTCCTCAAACTGATCACTTGGAGAGATGAACTTATTTCAGTACCTCTTTTGGAAATCTCCTATTAGTATTCCCTTGAAAGATTGTTACTATTTTTGAGTTACAACAGGAACCAACAGTAATATTTCATAACAACATCTCTCCCTCTCCCTTTATATATATATATATATATATATATATATATATATATATATATATATTAACCAGGGTCTTCGGCTGTCTTGAAATGATTTGATTCCTTCTTTTCAAAACAATAACAACTATAAATTTCAGTAACAGCTCTAAATTCACCATTAAAGAAAAAATAGGCCCTTGAAATAAATCTAGCTCTTTGACCATTTTTTGTATATTGAATTTAATTGGACCACAGCTATGTCATTCATTTACATATTGTCCCTTTTTGCATTACAATGGCAGAGATGAGTAGTCCCCACAGAGACAACTGGCCTGCAAAACCAAATGTGTTTCCTATCTAGCCCTTAACAGAGAAAGTTGGCTGACCTCTTCTTGAAGAGTTAAAATGGGGGGGCGCCTGGGTGGCGCAGTCGGTTAAGCGTCCGACTTCAGCCAGGTCACGATCTCGCGGTCCGGGAGATCGAGCCCCGCGTCAGGCTCTGGGCGGATGGCTCGGAGCCTGGAGCCTGTTTCCGATTCTGTGTCTCCCTCTCTCCCTGCCCCTCCCCCGTTCATGCTCTGTCTCTCTCTGTCCCAAAAATAAATTAAAAAAAAAAAATGCGATACCACCAAGGAGATCCCAAAGAAAATGACACAATTATCAAAACAACTTAAGGAATAGTTACATGTTAGGCAATAGCTGTATCACTGGAATCCAAATGCAGGTTGCTCAGAATCTTTACTTTGGAATGAATAATGTTTATTTGGAACCGTGAATGTTCATACATTTGTATTTGTATTCACTAGCTGGGAGAGCAGAGTAGAAGAATTCAAACATTAATATAATCTATGAGGGGTAGAGAATGTTGAATGGAAACCTGGTTCAGCACTTCCCTGGAGGAATTATTTATTTAATTGAATGATCTACTCCTAGGCTATTACATAACAATTCTGTATGTCAGTTTTCTCCTATGCAATAAAAGGATAATGTCAGTATCTATGTCTGTAAAAGCAAGGCTAAATGAATTTAGAGTGCTTAAAACAAAACCTGATACATAATATTTATCCATTAATAACTAATTATCGTTAGTAGTAGTAGCAGATATATCAAGAACTCTAGCATATGCCAGGAATATGCATGCATTTTCTTTTATTTACAATATTGTGTTCTAATTTATCTTATTTTAATGGTTAAATATTTAATCATTATCATTATTAACATTATAGCACAGAGCTTATTAAACAGAATAATTTGTGGAGTTAGAGGCTTTTGCATCTAGGAAACTTAGGATGATGTAAGCTAAGTCTGAGGCACTGGATAAAACAGTTAACATTGGCAAAGCGTATTTGCCGCAGCACCTCCCTGCGTTGTGGGTACTGGTACTAAGCATTGTCCATTTCCTAGGTGAACTGCTCCTGGTATATCTAGCAGCAAGTCAATGGTCATTTAGCTATCATTCTGCCTGGAGTGGTTGATCAGATTAACTTGACAATTCTTAGCTCAAATTTATCTCTAATATTGTGCTTCTGGCAGATGGATATTAACAATTACTCTCTGTGGTAGGTAAGTTTTATGTTATCGTCTCACTACAAATTTGGCCGTTGCTCTTAAGCCTGTGATGAAAACCACAGGGCATTCATTTGATAAACATAACTAAGTCCATGTGCTCAGAAAGCTTTTGTGAAATCAAACACATATCAGTTTTTAATTTTTTTTCAAAGCAGGTTTACAGACAATACCGGTACCCTCCACTTTCCGAATGTTCGCATTACCCCACTTCTGTTTTATGAAACACGTCCATTAGTAACTGCTTTTGCTAACCGAAATTCAAAGAGGGTTTTTGTTTTTACAAAAAAGGGTGAAAAGAGAATGATGTTCAGTATTTGTTTCGCAGTGAGCCACTGTAGAGGCAGTGTGCACCTGAGCAGGAGAGTGGCCCCACACAGCTCCTTCCCTGCAGCTACACTCCACCTCCCAACATCAAGCCACCATGGCTTTGAAATGTGTCTGTGAGCATCTCTCTGTGCTTTATCTTG